TCATTAAAATGCAAATCAATTTATAACATTTTTGACATGCGTCTTTCTGGATATAACCAGAAATTATAGACTGATCATGCCTTTGTCAGTGGGCAAACGTACAAAATCAGCAGGGGATCAAATACTTTTTCCCTCACTGTATATTTTGGGAATGTGATTTAGTGAACAGACACCAAGGATGCGTCTCAAATGGCTCCCTATATAGTGCACTACTTTTGACCAGGTCTCTGGTCAAAAGTAGTGCACCATGAAGGCAATGTGGTGCCATTTGGGACGCATCCAAACCTGCACTGAATAGGATCCAAACAAGAGATACCAATTGATATTGACATATTAGCCATGATTCGAATGATTCTGCTGAATGATTCTGCTAAGTGATTCTGCTGAATGATTCTGCTGAATGATTCTGCTAAATGATTCTGCTAAATTATTCTGCTAAATGATTCTGCTGATGAAATTCTGCTGAATGTGATGAGTAAGAGTTCCATGTCATCTTTTTAAACCAAATGTACCTGAGAAATAGCCAATAGCCATGTCCACAGCAGAGCAGCTGACACAAGTATACCGCAGGAAGGCTACAGTCCCTGCATGAACAATGTGAGGAGTGACTTCTGGCATCACCTCTGGCCACCTGACCACAGCATCAGCCTGGACCCAAAGGAGCCAATCAGATCACAGCCTGGACCCAAAGGAGACAATTAACTCCATAATTGAGGGAGTCTTCTTCCTTTGGTCTTTTTTTATTTTCTTATTCTAGTCTTCTGACTGTGCCAGAGGAGAAGTTGATGCGTTTCTCATCCTGTTCTCCCTGAATGTCTACTTTGAATCCTGGACCCCCCCCCCCCCCCTAAATCAGGAAGTCTTTCTAGTGAGGACCAAGCAGCACCTTGCCTCCCCTCTGGCTTCCTGAGAAGGCTGGGAGGAAACCAGCTGCAGTGGCAGAGCCCGGTGAAAAATGGTGACTTCAGCACATATTTGTGCCTCTCAGGCAGGACCTAAGAGAGAGACACACACACACATGCACGGCTCGCACACACACACATGCACGGCGCCCACACACACACATGCACGGCGCCCACACACACACACATGCATGCACGGCATGCACACACATTGGCCAGATGGCCTCTGGACTACCTCTCTCTCTGCCTGTCGTTTTTCACGGCTCAGGGGAGGAGAAGAGGAGGGGAGGAAAGGAAGAGGGAAGGTCAGGAGAGGGCAGCCCCCAGATTGACTGGAGGGGCAGTAGGGGTTAAAAAGGAGGTTGACTTGTGTTTTGTTTAAAGAGTTGCTCGCAGCTTGCTGCTAACTCATCATAAATTGCTGGCAGCTTGGGCTGGGAGTTTTATTTCAGACATGTAGAACACAAGGTCAGTACATAAACCAAATAATTGCACATTAACACACATAACAATTCTCACAATAAATATGCGACCAACATTTCTTCAACATTAAATAATCCACCTTTAAATCAGTATTGATCAAACCAGACTTAAACAAACCCCTTCAGTTTAAAAGAGCTTCCATCCAATACGGAACCGTGCTGACTGTCTGAGCCTTTCTCTCTCTTGCCCCAACATCTCTTATTCTCTCATTTATCTAAACACAGCAAACTCCTGCTTCCTGAACGATCCAATCACATGACGGCTAGATCATTCCGTAGAACATTCCGTAGAACATTCTGAAATGTTCTTAGAAGCTAACCTTTTTGTGTAAGGCTATGTTTTAATGTACTGTACCTACAGTACTTTAGTCATGTTGCTCAATAGGCCTACTGTGGTTTTCCCACAAATGTTATAAGCCTACAGGAGGGCAGCAAATGTAAACAGACATTGCAGTGATTGCAAATGTTTTTAACTATGACACGAAAAGATTACGAAAACCCCCCAGAGTGGAACATTTGTAATGTTGTTGCAGGTTGTTTTAAAAGCCACTGTAATGCAAAATGGATTCACAGTTTCAGACAGACTGAGGCAAAATTATCTCGACTTCAGACCTGTCTAGGGTTGCCATCTTGTGGACATTTGTTAAATGACACACATTACAGACCCACACACGGCCCTGCCTGTTTGTGGGAGACTGATTTAGGGCCAGTTTTCCAGACACAGATTAAGCCTAGTCCTGCCTGGACTAAAAACAGTTTAATGGAGAATCTTCCTTGAAAATGCTTTCCTAGAATGTTTTGTGGACTTTTATCTTGTCAATAATACCATTGCATCACCAGAATGTACAAACAAAGGAACAACGTTAAATATTTGCTCCTGTATTCCCACAAACTCCAGTAGTCAGGGGGGCAGCTGACATTTTCCCGTAACACTCTTGCAACAATAACTTAACTTTGCAGATGTAAGACGTAGCTAATTGCAATAATGTGTTAATGGTAGATACAGTAGGCCTACTATAGTTCTGTTTGGTACCACTGTACTCTGGAATAAATGTAAATTAAACAGGATAACAGTACTACGAGAACCAGGGCCCTGCCTAACCTAAGTATATGGGGTCCCTAATGTAAACTGGATCTCTTTCCTCCATTGGAAAAGCCTATAAGACTGTCCTACTTTAGCTACTCCATGCTGTTTCCTTTAGCTACTCTATGCTGTGCTACTTTAGCTAGCTATGGTTGGTAAAGCAGGACAACAATAAAATTACATTTGAACATAATATTGGCAACGTTTTATTTTATTTTGATGCACCAGTACATAGTATGCACATTTACATCACAGTTTGGCACAGAGCATTATTTATGACAGTTTTATAACTTTAACAGAAAAACAGAAAAAAAGCTGTCACTGATCTTACTGTGTGCTTCACGGGTGAGCTTCCTGTTTGAAGCTTGCTTTGCCCCCCTCTATAATGTCACACCAATGAAGTGATGTGATTTTGATAATGTGGTTTCTCTGCAGGGGCTTAGTAAAAATAGTTTAGATTTTCACTTGTCAGACCAAGAAATAAACGCGTCAAGATTAAGCTGTCCCAGACAGTTTTATTAATTATTTTTGCATTTCCATCTTCTGTAACATCTTTCGACATCTATCCAACATATTAGCCCAACACATGATACAGTGCATTCGGAAAGTATTCAGACCCCTAGACTTTTTCCACATTTTGTTACGTTACAGCCTTATTCTAAAATGGATGAAGTAGTTTTTCCCCCTCATCAATCTACGCACAATACCCCATAAAGACAAAGCAAAAACAGGTTTTTAGAAATGTTTGCAAATACATATATATTTTTTAAACTGAAATATCACTTTTACATAAGTAATCAGACCCTTTACTCAGTACTTTGTTGAAGCACCTTTGGCAGCGATTAAAGCCTTGGGTCTTCTTGGGTATGACGCTACAAGCTTGACAAACCTGTATTTGGGGAGTTTCTCCCATTCTTCTCTGCAGATCCTCTCAAGCTCTGTCAGGTTGGATGGGGAGCGTCGATGCACAGCTATTTTCAGGTCTCCCCAGAGATATTCGATCGGGTTCAAGTCGAGGCTCTGGCTGGGTCACTCAAGGACATTCAGAGACTTGAGTCCCGAAGCCACTCCTGCATTTTCTTTGCTGTGTGCTTAGGGTCGTTGTCCAGTTGGAAGGTGAACCTTCGCCCCAGTCTGAGGTCCTGAGCGCTCTGGAACAGGTTTTCATCAATGATCTCTCTGTACTCTCTGTTCAATCTTGGTTTCATCAGACCAGAGAATCTTGTTTCTCATGGTCTGAGTCCTTTAGGTGCCTTTTGGCAAACTGCAAGCGGGCTGTCATGTGCCTTTAACTGAGCAGTGGCTTCCATCTGGCCACTCTACCATAAAGGCCTGATTGGTGGAGTGCTGCAGAGATGGTTGTCCTTCTGGAAGGTTCTCCCATCTCCACAGAGGAACTCTGGAGCTCTGTCAGAGTGACCATCGGGTTCTTGGTCACCTCCCTCACCAAGGCCCTTCTCCCCCGATTGCTCAGTTTGGCCGGGTGGCCAGCTCTAGGAAGAGTCTTGGTGGTTACGAACTTCTTCCATTTAAGAATGATGGAGGCCACTGTGTTCTTGGGGACCTTCATTGCTGCAGAAATGTTTTGGTACCCTTCCCCAGATCTGTGCCTCGACACAATCCTGTCTCAGAGCTCTACAGACAATTCCTTTGACCTCATGGCTTGGTTTTTGCTCTGACATACACTGTTAACTGTGGGACCTTATATAGACAGGTGTGTGCCTTTCCAAATCATGTCCAATCAATTTAATTTACTACAGGTGGACACCAATCAAGTTGTAGAAACATCTCAAGGATGATCAATGGAAACAGGATACACCTGAGCTCAATTTCGAGGCTCATAGCAAAGGGTCTGAATACTTATGTAAATAAGGTATTTCTGTTTTTGCTAAAATTTATAAAAACCTGTTTTCGCTTTGTCATTATGGGGTATTGTTGATGAGGAAAAAACATTTATCAATTTTAGAATGAGGCTGTAACGTTACAAAATGTGGAAAAAGAGAAGGGGTCTGGATACTTTCTGAATGAACTGTACATTTCTGAAATCTTCAAGATGATAATATAACAACAAAGAGTGAAACTGTCATTGAGGTACAATTTGGACTGTAATAATGGTGTCCCCGTTTATCTAAGCTGCTGTCCCAAACTGAAAATGCGGTTTTGGCTCAGTTTACACAAATGGGTGTGTAATGCCTCCTGTGAATAAAATATCAACATTTGTCATTTTTGTGTGATTAGGACACATCTTGAGGATTTCAGAAATATATAATGTGTTGGGATAATATGTTGGATAGATGTCTGAAGAGGTTACAGTAGATGGAAATGCAAAAAGTGTCACTTTCTCTGAATTTACACTACAGACAATAATGGTAAGAAATTGTGAAATAGAGAATAGTCCAGTAACTCTACCATGAGTCCACAGATTACACTCTGGGTTGTGTTTTTCCATCAGTCAAACTATTGATTTGTTCTGCAATCATTAACGGAAAGGCCATACATATAAAGCAGGACAGACCAACATTCTGTTCATCATTCTGTCGTCATGAGGACTGAGGTAGCTGTTGCTCTTCTCCTGGGGTTCTGTGCCGTGGCTGTGGCTGTGTCTGGTGATGAAAACAGAACGTACGTATGCTCTATTTTACACAAAATGCTCTCTTTACTCTCATTTATGCTCTCATTGCACAAAATACAATTAGAGGTCACTTGTTCTAGTAATCTGAGCTCTGAACCTTGTGTGTGTAACCCATAGAGGCAAACGGGACACTCGGGAGGTCAAGGTGGCTCCCCCTGACCCAGTGGACTGTGTCTGGAGCCGCTGGTCTCAGTGGACCCCCTGTAACAACTGCACCAAGATACGGGTGAGTCTCAGATTTTAAAAAATATATACAGAACAGGGACTAGCAATTTTGCCTCCAAGTCTCAAATTTTTCTCAAATGTCAGTCTCAAATGATTCATGGCTTAAAAAACATGAGTGAAAGTTTGTATGCTCCTATGCTCCTTAAGTGTGTGAACTCTTTTGTCATGTTGGCAGCACCGTTCACGGAGTGTGGAGGTGTACGGCCAATTCGGTGGGAAGCCCTGTCGTGGACAGCCAATAGGAGAGCAGCAGGCGTGCAACACAGAGGATGTGTGTGAACAGGCCCCGCCCCCTGAGTGCTCCAGAACTGAGTTCACCTGTGAATCAGGTACTGTACCTCCCAATTAGGTCATAGGCATGAGTATGTCTGCCTATGGTACCTCCATCTTTCAGATCCAATATGACGCTGAATCTGTGCGCATCAAGGTGGGTAGATTATTTAGGTTAGGGCAGGCTGTTTACTCTGAGCAGCTATGGACTAAAGTAAAGTTAACCATAATACAATTTACACAGTTGCAGTAGTGCTATTACAGTGAATTAAGTGCATAAAACTGTCATCATACACTGATCATGCACGTTTCTGTCTGTCTGGGTTTCTCTCTGTCTCTCCCTCTCTTTGTGAAGGTGCGTGTATTAAGTTGAGACTGTCGTGTAATGGAGACTATGACTGCGAGGACGGGTCAGACGAGGACTGTGAGCCCAACCGTAAGCCCTGTGGCACACAGATTTACAACACCAACGAACAGGGCAGGACTGCAGGATACGGGTGAGCACAGCAGCACTTCCCTTACAACCACAGTCCAGTAGCAATCACCTCTCAAACACCTGCACAGTAGCATTACATTTACATTTTAGTCATTTAGCAGACGCTCTTATCCAGAGCGACTTACAGTTAGTGAGTGCATACATCATTAAAAAAAAATATATATATATATATATATTATTTTATTATTTTATTTTTTTATACTGGCCCCCCATGGGAATCGAACCCACAACCCTGGCGTTGCAAACGCCATGCTCTACCAACTGAGCTACATCCCTGCCAACCATTCCCTCCCTTACCCTGGACGACGCTGGGCCAATTGTGCGCCGCCCCATGCGTCTCCCGGTCGCGGTCGGCTACGACAGAGCCTGGATTCCAGGGTCGTGAGCATTGTGATGAGCTTAGAGGGCGCTATGGTATTGAAGGCCGAGCTGTAGTCGATGAACAGAATCCTCTCATACTGTATGCATTTATTTTGTCCAGGTGGGTGATGGGCAGTGTGCAGTACAATGGTGATTGCGTCATTTGTGGATCTGTCAGGGCGGTAGGCGAATTGGAGAGGGTACTGTGTGTCGGGGAAGGGAGGAGGTGAAGGTCTTTGACTAGACACTCGAAGCACTGCATGATGACGGAAGTGAGTGCTACGGGTCGGTAGTCATTCAGTTCAGTTACATTCCCTTTCTTGGGCACGAGGATGATAGCTGCACTTGATTGAGGATGCCTGGCGCAATAGAATCAATGGAATCAATGGAATAGTCCCAAAAATGCAAACCTTGACTCCATGCACACTCAATCAAAGATACAAAGTAAAGAAAACAAATACTATTTGAACTCAGGTCTACTCCTGAATGCTCTCCAGCAGCCACTCAGGTCCCTGACTGAATACATAGAATGTCCATAGAAATACATATTAGATTACATTATATTAGTGTTCTTTTAAGTTCTGTGTCTATGTCTTTATGCTGTGACAGAATCAACATCTTGGGCCTGGACCCCCGTATAAACCCCTTCAACAACGACTACTTCAATGGGGTGTGCAACAAGGTGAAGAACACCAATAACAACGAGTACAACAGGCTGCCTTGGAACGTGGGCGTGCTCAACTATGAGGTGAGTTAGGCCTAGCCTGGAATCTGCCTTCACTTCAGTATTACAATAGTGAAACAGAGATATTCGGCTCAGATTTCAGACTAAGATTAATCACGGCTCTGTTGATAAATGTGACTTTTCAATTCTTGCATTGTAATTTCAAATAATCTTTATGTAATCATCTTTATGTAATTTCAAATCAGTTCTTAAATTGAACTGACTCAAACCATTCTGGCTTTATGATGTTGTCTATATATTTGATCAAAGTTCCATCCCACATCGTGACAGACTGTTAACGTTTAGTAGCTGGCAAGTGAGCATGTGAGATTTGCTTTTGGGTTCCAACATTTGACAGTACAGTATGTAACACTTCAGCAAATTCAAACCTTTGTGATTGACCTCTGACCCCTGCATGGGTCTTTCCCAGACTATAGCAGAGGAGACCGTTTCCAGAGAGATCTATGAGGACACATACACCCTCCTGAGGGAACTGATGACTGAGACCAAGTTGACTGTGAGCGCTGGGTTGAACTTAAAAATCAGCCCCACAGAGAAGTCTATGGCCAAGTCCAACACGACTGTGTCAGGAGGGTTAGGGGCAGACGCTGAGTATGAAAAGACACAGATGATCAAGGATGTCTCGGAGTACACTACAATAAAGGTACAGTAGGCTTCACGTTATACTGTAGTGTACACTCTGTGTACACCATGGATAATATACTTTCAGTCCACTTGTATTTGTTTATTTCATCTATCTTGTAAATCACAATGGCTTTATTTTTGATTGAAGTCTAAAATGTCTTGGCTGACTTTGAGTTTAAACTCCCTGATTTTAATTGAACAATAAACCAACAATACATTTATAACGGTCTTTTCTAGGACCCAAAGTTGCATAACAATAATATTACAACCAAAAGCAGTGCCAGAATACTTATGGCGATTCCTATTGGTTGATGTGGGTCCTTGTCCAATTAGAACAAGAGTTTCATGCGTGTGAACGGCCGTGTGCAACTGAGCACCTATAGGATGCGTTCCCGGGAACTTCATGTGGCCGGGGAGTTTCTAGAGCATGTCAAGTCTCTACCTCTGGAGTACGAGAAAGGACAGTACTTCAGGTTGGACTGTTATCATTACACTAGAACATGTTTTTAAAACTATTACCTCATTGTTTTTGTGACTATATCTTATGTAAATTGTTATATATACAGTACCAGTCAAAAGTTTGGACACACCTACTCATTCAAGGGATTTTCTTTATTTTTACTATTTGTAGAATAGTAGTGAAGACATCAAAACTATGAAATAACACATATGGAATCATGTAGTAACCAAAAAAGTGTTAAACAAATCAAAATATATTTTATATTTGAGTTTCTTCAAAGTATCCACCCTTTGCCTTGATGACAGCTTTGCACACTCTTGGCTTTATGAGGTAGTCACCTGGAATGCATTTCAATTAACAGGTGTGCCTTCTTAAAAGTTAATTTGTAGAATGTATTTCCTTCTTAATGCATTTAAGCCAATCAGAAATATTGTGATAAGGTAGGGGTGGTATACAGAAGATAGCCCTATTTGGTTAAAGACCAAGTCCATATTATGGCAAGAACAGCTAAAATAAGCAAAGAGAAACGACAGTCCATCATTACTTTAAGACATGAAGGTCAGTCAATATGGAACATTTCAAGAACTTTGAACGTTTCTTCAAGTGCAGTGGCAAAAACCATCAAGCGCTATGATGAAACTGACTCTCATGAGGACCGGCACAGGAAAGGAAGACCCAGAGTTTTTATATATATAAAAACCTAGGGGATTGGAAGTGATGCAGACAATTACATTGATGGTAGTTACAATCTATCTGCAATAAAGCTGATCGACCCCCTAAAAAGACACAGAGTTACCTTTCCTGCAGAGGATAAGTTCAAAAGAGTTACCAGCCTCAGAAACTGCAGCCCAAATAAATGCTTCACAGAGTTCAAGTAACAGACACCACTACTAAAGGACACCAATAATAAGAAGAAACTTGCTTGGGCCAAGAAACAGGAGCAATGGACATTAGACAGGTGGAAATCTGGAGTCGAAATTTGAGATTTTTGGTTCCAACCGCCATGTCTTTGTGAGACACAGAGTAGGTGAACTGATGATCTCTGCATGTGTAGTTCCCACCGAGAAGCATGGAGGAGAAGGTGTGATGGTGTGGGGGTGCTTTGCTGGTGACACTGTCTGTGATTTATTTAGAATTCAAGGCACACTTAACCAGCATGGCTACCACAGTATTCTGCAGCAATATGCCATCCCATCTGGTTTGGGCTTAGTGGGACTATCATTTGTCTTTCAAAAGGATAATGACGCAACACACCTCCAGGCTGTGTAAAGGCTATTTGACAAAGAAGGAGAGTGATGGAGTGTTGCATCAGAGGACCTGGCCTCCACAATCAACCAACCTCTAACCAATTGAGATGGTTTGGGATGAGTTGGACCTCAGAGTGAAGGAAAAGCTGCCAGCAGGTGCTCAGCATATGTGGGAACTCCTTCAAGACTGTTGGAAAAGCATTTCAGGTGAAGCTGGTTGAGAGAATGTGTCACGATTGTCATGAAAAGTGGACCAAGGCGCAGCGTGATATGCGCACATCTTTTTAATGTGTACTTAGCAACACGATACAAACAACAAGTCCTCGGTCATAAAGTCCTCGGTCATAAACACACAAACCTACACAGAACAAGATCCCACAAATGACAAGTGCACAAAAGGCTGCCTAAGTATGGGTCCCAATCAGAGACAACAAGCAACAGCTGATTCACGTTGCCTCTGATTGGGAACCACCCCGGTCAACATAGAAAACACATGAACTAGAAACAGAACATAGAACACAAAACATAGACCCTACACACCCTGGCTCAACATATAAGAGTCCCCAGAGCCAGGGCGTGACAGAATGCCAAGAGGGTGCAAAGCTGTCATCAAGGCAAAGGGTGGCTACTTTGAAGAATCTAAAATCTAAAATATATTTTGATTTTTTCAAAACTTTTTTGGTTACTACATGATTCCATATGTGTTATTTCATAGTTTTGATGTCTTCACTATTATTATACAAGGGAGAAAATAGTAAAAATAAAGAAAAACCCTTGAATTAATAGGTGTGTCCAAACTTTTGACTGGTACTGTATATTTATTTTTATGTATTTGCCTACTCCTGCTTGGACAATTGTGGGATGGATAAAGTATTTTGTGTTGAGTTGAATGGAATGTATTGGAATGGAATTGAATTGAATTGAATGCAGCTTTCTGGAGGACTATGGGACTCACTACACCAGGAATGGGAAGTCTGGAGGAGAGTACGAGCTGGTCTACGTTCTCAACCAGGACAACATCAAGGACAAAAGTAGGAATCTTAAAATCATATTTTGTCTTTCTACCAACACCACTCTTAAAGGCCCAATGCAGCTGTTTTTATATCAATATCAGATCATTTCTGGGTAACAATTAAGTACCTTACTGTAATAGATTTCCATTCCAATTTGCAAAAATAACTTTTTAGCAAAATAAACTATTTCTCAACCAATAATTTTTATAGGACTGTCTGGGAGTGGTCTGAGTGGGGAGGGGAAAACTGAAAGCAAGCTGTTATTGGCAGAGAGGTTTGGAACTCTCTTTGTTATTGGTCTATTAACCTATTTACTGCATGGTGATATCACCATGGAAAGCCGAAACTCCCTCCAATTTTTATTTTACCTTTATTTAACCAGGTAAGCCAGTTGAGAACAAGTTCTCATTTACAACTGCGACCTGGCCAAGATAAAGCAGTGCGATAAAAACAACAACACAGAGTTACATATGGTTACATATGTGGTAAACAAAACATAAAGTCAAAAATACAACAGAAAATATATATACAGTGTGTGCGAACGTAGTAAGTTATGGAGGTAAGGCAATAAATAGGCCATAGTGCAAAATAGTTACAATTTCGTATTAACACTGGAATGATAGATGTGCAAAAGATGATGTGCAAAAAGAGATACTGGGGTGCAAAATAGCAAAATAAATAACAATATGGGGATGAGGTAGTTGGGTGGGCTAATTTCAGAATGGCTGTGTACAGGTGCAATGATCGGTAAGCTGCTCTGACAACTGACGCTTAAAGTTAGTGAGGGAGATAAGTGTCTCCAGCTTCAGAGATTTTTACAGTTCGTTCCAGTCATTGGCAGCAGAGAACTGGAAGGAATGGCGGCCAAAGGAGGTGTTGGCCTTGGGGATGACCAGTGAGATATACCTGCTGGAGCGCAGACTACAGGTGGGTGTTGCTATGGTGACCAGTGAGCTAAGATAAGACGGGCAGTGATTTATAGATGACCTGGAGCCAGTGGGTTTGGCGATGAATATGTAGTGAGGGCCAGCCAACAAGAGCGTACAGGTCACAATGGTGGGTAGTATATGGGGCTTTGGTGACAAAACGGATGACACTGTGATAGACTACATCCAATTTGCTGAGTAGAGTGTTGGAGGCTATTTTGTAAATGACATCGCCGAAGTCAAGGATCAGTAGGCTAGTCCGTTTTACGAGGGCATGTTTGGCAGCATGAGTGAAGGAGGCTTTGTTGCGAAATAGGAAGCCGATTCTAGATCTAACTTTTGATTGGAGATGCTTAATGTGAGTCTGGAAGGAGAGTTTACAGTCTAACCAGACACCTAGGTATTTGTAGTTGTCCACATACTCTAGGTCAGACCCGCCGAGAGTAGTGATTCTAGTCGTGTGGGCGGGTGCAAGCAGCGTTCGGTTGAAGAGCATGCATTTAGTTTTACTAGTGTTTAAGAGCAGTTGGAGGCTACGGAAGGAGTGTTGTATGGCGTTGAAGCTCATTTGGAGGTTTGTTAACACAGTGTCCAATGAAGGGCCAGATGTATACAAAATGGTGTCGTCCGCATAGAGGTGGATCTGAGCGTCACCAGCAAGAGTGACATCATTGATATACACAGAGAATAGAGTCGGCCCGAGAACTGAACCCTGTGGCACCCCCATAGAGACGGCCAGAGGTCCAGACAACAGGCCCTCCGATTTGACACATTGAACTCTATCTGAGAAGTAGTTGGTGAACCAGGCAAGGCAGTCATTAGAGAAACAGAGGCTATTTAGTCTGCCAATAAGAATGCCTTGGCCAGGTCGATGAAAAGACGGCTGCGCAGTACTGTCTTTTATCGATCGCAGTTATAATATGGTTTAGGACCTTGAGCGTGGCTGAGGTGCACCCATGACCAGCTCGGAAACCGGATTGCATAGCGGAGAAGGTACGGTGGGATTTGAAATGGTTGGTGATCTGTTTGTTAACTTGGCTTTCAAATACTTTCGAAAGGCAGGGCAGGATGGATATAGGTCTGTAACAGTTTGGATCTAGAGTGTCACCCCCTTTGAAGAGAGGGATGACCGCGGCAGCTTTCCAATCTCTGGGGATCTCAGACGTTACGAAAGGGAGGTTGAACAGGCTAGTAATAGGGGTTGCGACAATTTCGGTGGCTAATTTTAGAAAGAAAGGGTCGAGATTGTCTAGCCCAGCTGATTTGTAGGGGTCCAGATTTTTCAGCTCTTTCAGAACATCAGCTGTCTAAATTTGTGTGAAGGAGAAGCAGGGGGGGCATGGGCAAGTTGCAGCGGAGAGTGGAAAGCATGGCCAGCCGTAACAAAATGCTTGTTGAAATTCTCAATTATTGTGGTTATTATGGTGGTGACAGTGTTTCCTAGCCTCCGTGCAGTGGGCAGTTGGGAGGAGCTGCTCTTATTTTCCATGGACTTTACAGTGTCCCAAAACTTTTTGGAGTTAGTGCTACAGGATGCACATTTCTGTTTGAACAAGCTAGCCTTTGCTTTCCTAACTGATTGTGTATATTGGTTCCTGACTTTCCTAAAAAGTTGCATATCGTGGGGGCTGTTCGATGCTAATGCAGTACGCCACAGGATGTTTTTGTGCTGGTCAAGGGCAGTCAAGTCTGAGGAGAACCAGGGGCTATATCTGTTCTTAGTTCTGAATTTTTTGAATGGGGCATGCTTATTTAAGATTGAGAGGAAAGCACTTTTAAAGAACAACCAGGCATCCTCTACTGACGGAAAGAGGTCAATATCCATCCAGGATACCCAGGCCAGGTCAATTAGAAAGGCCTGCTCGCTAAAGTGTTTTAGGGACCGTTTGACAGTGATGAGGGGTGGTCGTTTGACCGCGGACCCATTACGGACGCAGACAATAAGGCAGTGATCGCTGAGATCCTGGTTGAAGTATTTAGAGGGTAAATTTGTCAGGATGATATCTATGAGGGTGCCCATGTTTACAGATTTAGGGTTGTACCTGGTAGGTTCATTGATAATTTGTGTGAGATTGAGGGCATCTAGTTTAGATTGTAGGTTGGCCGGGGTGTTAAGCATATCCCAGTTTAGGTCACCAAGCAGTACAAACTCTGAGGATAGATGGGGGGCAATCAGTTCACATATGGTGTCCAGGGCACAGCTCGGGGCTGAGGGGGGTCTGTAGCAAGCGGCAACAGTGAGAGACTTATTTCTGGAAAGGTGGATTATTAGAAGTAGAAGCTCAAACTGTTTGGGCACAGACCTGGATAATACGATAGAGCTCTGCAGGCTATCTCTACATTAGATTGCAACCCCACCCCCTTTGGCAGTTCTATCGAGACGGAAAATGTTGTAGTTGGGGATGGACATTTCTGAATTTTTGGTGGCCTTCCTAAGCCAGGATTCAGACACTGCTAGAACATCAGGGTTGGCGAAGTGTGCTAACGCAGTCAATATCTCAAACTTAGGGAGGAAGCTTCGAATGTTAACGTGCAAGAAACCAAGGCTTTTACAGTTACAGAAGTCAACAAATGATAACGCCTGGGGAGCAGGAGTGATACTGGGGGCTACAGGGCCTGGGTTAACCTCTACATCACCAGATGAACAGAGGAGGAGTAGAATAAGGATACGGCTAAAGGCTTTAAGAACTGGTCTTCTAGTGCGTTGGGTACAGAGAAAAAAGGGGCAGATTTCTGGGCGTTGTAGAATAGATTCAGGGCATTATGTACAGGCAAGGATATGGAAGATTATGAGTACAGTGGAGGTAAACCTAAGCGTTGGGTAACGATGAAAGAGATAGCATCACTGGAGGCACCGATTGAGTCGGTCTCCGCGTGTATTGGGGGTGGGACAAAGGAGCTATCTAAGGCAGGTTGAGCTGGGCTGGGGGATCTACAGTGAAATAGTACAATAAGAAATAACCGAAACAGCAATAAGCAAGGCATATTGCCATGGGAGAGAGGCATAAAGCAATCACAGGTGTTATTCGAGAGAGCTAAGACAACAGCTGGTAATGGCTAAGCATAAACATGATGCGGTACCGTAAAAAGGAACAGTCCAGCAAGCATCAGCTGTGTAGCTGAGTTATCATAAGGTCCGGTGAACAGCAATAGTAGAGTTCGGGGGTTGATATAGCACTGGCGAGCAAGAGGCCATGGCTAGCGTGTGCTAGCGGGCCAGGGCTAGCAGATGGATCTTCGTGGTCGACGTCGTAACGGGAAGCCTGTTGTAACCACATCAGACGAGTTTTGGATCGGGGGGCTCCGGGTCAACACTAGGAGGTCCCGTCCGGTTGACAGAGAGGTAGATAGCCGGGTGATGTGCCTGGCTCTAGGCTAGCTCAAGGCTGATTAGCCAACAACAACGTCCATTTGGTTGCAGCTAGCTAGCTGCGGTGATCCAATGCAAACCTGCTGATTAGAAGGTCCTGTGTAGAGTGTATTTTTGACCAGCAACTATCAGGAAACTAGATGGTAATTTTCCATGAAGTAAAATTGATGGGACTTGCTTTAACTCTTTACAAGTATTTTTGTGGTAGTGTAAGAAGTTTAAAATGTTTTACTTAAGCCAAGAAGTTAAATATAGTCAAAGTTAAATTTAGTAAAATGATTGGTCTGATTACTTTGATATACTACACTATCAACCTTATTGCTTTGGATTGTGGGGCAGTTAGATCAAATTATATTTCATCACAAATAACTACACTCAGACTAGCCTACTACACTTTTAGACACTATCTTAATAGAATAACACAGAATATGACAACTGTAATAATAGAGTACAGAAAACAAGGAGGCATTGTTGAAGTTGAAAAGAAATGTCCAAAATATATTTTATCCCAAGCTTCTACAAACATTAAATGTCCAAACTATATTTTATCCCAAGCTTTTATCCCTCACTTCTAACATACATTAAATGTCAAAAATATATTTTATCCCAAGCTTTTATCCCTCACTTCTAACATATATTCATTTCTAAAATCAAAGGATTAAACTGTTAAAATAAAAGTTAAGTTAAGTTGGACTGATTGGTATGATAATAGAATGAATGTATGGTTGAAGGTGTGTGTGTGGTAGTAGTTATTGCTATTCTGATTTCAGATTTGAATATCAGAGAAGTAGACCAAGGTACCATACCCTTTAAGTTTTTGTCTACGACACGTTGTTGGGAAAAGTGGTCAAGATAGCTGATTAGTGTCAGAAGTCACAATGTTTACTCATTGTCTCATGCTTAGAATGTGCTCCCCATTGTTATCATTTGAAAGTTCAGAAAAGTTCCATGGCAGTTAATTCAACTGTGGGAAGTTAGCTAAATGAGTTGATGTGGTTACTAAAACAGCTGTACCTCTTGACTGGTAGTAGATATTTATGTTCTTATTTCCAGATTTGAATAGCAGAGAAGTGGACCAAGATGTCGTACCCTCTAAGTTTTTGTCTAACTTGTTCTGAAAGTGGTTAAAACATCAGTTGTTTGGAAAAAGTTGGGGAAAAATGGTTCATGCGGTTACTAAAACAGCTGTATTGTTAGATCCGTAGCGGATATTTTGGTTACGCGGACAGATTTAAATAGCAGACAAGTAGACGAAGATGTCATACCCTCTAACTTCTTGTCTAACTTGTTCGGAAAGTGGTCAAAATGTCAGTTGTTTATAAAAGGTTACAGAAAATGTTGTTGAAGCAGGTACTTAAACAAAACGTTGTATGCAAGCACACTATTCTAGACCAGTCTGCACATTTTAAAGTTTAAATGGCATTTCTAGTTAAAACAGGGTGGCGTGCAGGAGATTAATAAGAAGATAAGTATGAGGAAGATTTAAAGTCAGGACTTTTGTTTCGCAAGTCCCATCTGATTAAAATAAATCACACTTTTACAGTATTCATTTCATCAGCTGTTGTATAATATGATATAAAACACAGAAAAACTAAATTTTAACTGCACTGGACCTTTAAGATGCTACCACTGATACATGTCATATCGAAACTAGCTAGGGCTCTTATTCAAAACAGCCCAACATTGCATTGAGGATCAGAGAGAAAGTATTTGGTTTCCATATTAATGTTTTTTTATAATGATTTGGGAAAATGAATGAAATGTGACCATATTGAAACCTCTCCTGTTTGCAGTGATGTCCGTATGTGATGTTTAAGCAATGTTGTCTCTCCTATAGAGGTGACTGAGAAAAAAATCCAGGAATGCATTAAAGTTGGAGTAACAGCAAACTTTGACACTAACATCGGGATTGGAGGAGATGCCCACATCAGACCGGGACACTGTAAAGACATTACCAATACAAACACAGGTCTGTTAAAACAATGTTAACACAAACATACAGTTTATCTATTTATTTTACCCTTATTTTACCAGGTAAGTTGACTAAGAACACATTCTCAATTACAGCAACGACCTGGGGAATAGTTAGAGAGGAGAGGAGGGGGGATGAATGAGCCAATTGGAAGCTGGGGATGATTAGGTGGCCATGATGGTTGAGGAACAGGTTGGGAATTTAGCCAGGACACCGGGGTTAACACCCCTACTCTTCCGATAAGTGCCATGGGATCTTTAGTGACCACAGAGAGTCACGACACCCGTTTAACGTCCCATCTGAAAGACAGCACCCTACACAGGGCAATGTCCCCAATCACTGCCCTGGGGCATTAGGGTATCATCATTTTTTTTGACCAGAGGAAAGAGTGTCTCGTACTGGCCCTCCAACACCACTTCCAGCAGCATCTGGTCTCCCATCCAGGGACCGACCAGAACCAACCCTTAGCAACCCTGCTTAGTTTCAGAGGCAAGCCACACACACACACACACACAAAACACACACCCTCCTTCCTGATTGCTATGGCTCTGTATCCACAGATGAGAAGGAGGGCAAGGCGCTGGTAGATAAGGTGATTACTGCAGTCAGGGGCGGAACCCTGGAGACCGCTGTCGCCATGAGAACCCAGATAAAGAAGGAGGGGCTAATGGACATGCAGACCTATCAGAACTGGGCCCGGACAGTGGGCGATGCCCCTGCACTCCTCAGCAGTGAGGTAAGGGCCCAATTCCAAACCCATCCCATGCTGCCTCATTCCTATAAACACTATGTAGATCTGAAAGGAGTTGTTACATTGCCCAAAAGGGGGATTGGTAAAGTTGTATTTTATTTTTGTATAAAAAAATACATATAAACTCAGCAAAAAAAGAAACAGGACCGTCTTTCAAAGATCATTCGTAAAAATCCAAATAACTTCACAGATCTTCATTGTGAAGCGTTTAAACTCTGTTTCCCATGCTTGTTCAATGAACCATAAACAATTAATGAACATGCACCTGTGGAACGGTTGTTAAGACACTAACAGCTTACAGACGGTAGGCAATTAAGGTCACAGTTATGAAAACTTAGGACACTAAAGAGGCCTTTCTACTGACTCTGAAAAACACCAAAAGAAAGATGCCCAGGGTCCCTGCTCATCTGCGTGAACGTGCCTTAGGCATGCTGCAAGGAGGCATGAGGACTGCAGATGTGGCCAGGGCAATAAATTGCAATGTCCATACTGTGAGACGCCTAAGACAGCGCTTCAGGGAAACAGGACAGACAGACCACGTGTAACAACACCTGCACAGGATCGGTACATCCGAACATCACACCTGTGGGACAGGTACAGGATGGCAACAACAACTGCCCGAGTTACACCAGGAACACACAATCCCTCCATCAGTGCTCAGACTGTCCGCAATAGGCTGAGAGAGGCTGAAATGAGGGCTTGTAAGCCTGTTGTAAGGCAGGTCCTCACCAGACATCACCGGCTATGGGCACAAACCCACCGTCGCTGGACCAGACAGGACTGGCTAAATGTGCTCTTCACTGACGAGTCGCGGTTTTGTCTCACCGGGGGTGATGGTCGGATTCGCGTTTATCGTCGAAGGAATGAGCGTTACACCGAGTCCGGTACTCTGGAGCGGGATCGATTTGGAGGTGGAGGGTCCGTCATGGTCTGGGGCGGTGTGTCACAGCATCATCGGACGACTGAGCTTGTTGTCATTGCAGGCAATCTCAACGCTGTCTGTGCGTTACAGGGAATACATCCTCCTCCCTCATGTGGTACCCTTCCTGCAGGCTCATCCTGACATGATGAGCCGTACTGCTCGTTCTGTGCGTGATTTCCTGCAAGACAGGAATGTCAGTGTTCTGCTATGGCCACCGAAGAGCCCGGATTTCAATCCCATTGAGCACGTCTGGGACTTGTTGGATCGGAGGGTGAGGGCTAGGGCCAATCCCCCCAGAAATGTCTGGGAACTTGCAGGTGCCTTGGTGGAAGAGTGGGGTAACATCTCACAGCAAGAACTGGCAAATCTGGTGCAGTCCATGAGGAGGAGATGCACTGCAGTACTTAATGCAGCTGGTGGCCACACCAGATACTGACTGTTACTTTTGATTTCGATCCCCCCTTTGTTCAGGGACACATTATTCAATTTCTGTTAGTCACATGTCTGTCGAACTTGTTCAGTTTATGTCTCAGTTGTTGAATCTTGTTATGTTCATACAAATATTTACACGTTAAGTTTGCTGAAAATAAATGCAGGTGACAGTTAGAATACGTTTCTTTTTTTGCTGAGTTTATATTAAAACATACAATCTACTTGCAGTGAAGCCGCTCAACATTTACATTACATTCAGTCATCTAACCGTCCCCCGTCCAGAGTGACCGACAGGGGCAACCAGGGTCAAGCGCCCCGCCCAAGGGCACGTCAACAGATCTCCCACCAAGTCAAAACGGGGACCCGAACCCGCAACCTATCGGCCACCAGCCCAAGCTCCCAACTGCCAGGCCACCAACCATCCAAGATCCCCCCACAGTCCCCCGAGAGCTGCCCCGAGACCATCAGAGAACACCACCCCCCCCCCCCCCGAGAAAAACAAAAACAAACAAAACCTCACCCTCCATTACCCCCCCCCAAGCCACCATCCTCCAATGCACCAACAACCAACAAAATGAACAAAAGAGAAAAAAGAGAAAAACAGGAAAACAGAAAACAACAACACAAAAACAAAATACATCAAGGACAACGAAAATCATAACAGCAAGGCCAACTGTATATGTTTCAGTGCATGTGTGGCACTATTTACATCTGTGTATGTGTGTGTGTGTCCGTGCGTGTGCACGTGTGGGTTTGAATGCGAGTGAGTGTATATGGATGTGTACACTCGTACAAGCACCTGCGCAGCATCAGCCTCAGGCAAACAGGCATTAGATGTATCAGCATTGCCCTTCAGTGTCATTCAAACTTACTATTTTTTTGTTTATTTTGACTTCATTTTTTACTTTCATCTTTGACCGTCATTCTATCCCCCGCCCAGCAACTCCACTCCCACTTGTCTCCAGTTCAAATCAAATAAAATAAAATAAAATGTTATTTGGCACATGCGCCGAATACAACAGGTGCAGACATTACAGTGAAATCCTTACTTACAGCCCTTAACCAACAGTGCATTTATTTTAAATAAAAAAAGTAAAATAAAACAACAACAAAAAAGTGTTGAGAAGAAAAAGACAGTAGGGAGGCTATATATGCAGGGGGGGTACCGGTGCAGAGTCAATGTGCGGGGGCACCGGCTAGTTGAGGTAGTTGAAGTAATATGTACATGTGGGTAGAGTTAAAGTGACTATGCATAAATAATTAACAGAGTAGCAGCAGCGTAAAAAGATGGGGTGGGGGGCAGTGCAAATAGTCCGGGTAGCCATGGTTAGCTGTTCAGGAGTCTTATGGCTTGGGGGTAGAAGCTGTTGAGAAGTCTTTTGGACCTAGACTTGGCACTCCGGTACCGCTTGCCGTGCGGTAGCAGAGAGAACAGTCTATGACTAGGGTGGCTGGAGTCTTTGACAATTTTGAGGGCCTTCCTCTGACACCGCCTGGTATAGAGGTCCTGGATGGCAGGAAGCTTGGCCCCAGTGATGTACTGGGCCATACGCACTACCCTCTGTAGTGCCTTGCGGTCGGAGGCCAAGCAGTTGCCATACCAGGCAGTGATGCAACCAGTCAGGATGCTCTCGATGGTGCAGCTGTACAATTTTTGGAGGATCTGAGGACCCATGCCAAATCTTTTCAGTCTCCTGAGGGGGAATAGGCTTTGTCGTGCCCTCTTCACCACTGTCTTGGTGTTGTCACGAGGGTCGATGTCGTCTAAATATGACCAAGGCGCAGCGTGTCCAAGAAACATGACTTTATTAATATCAAAGTCTGGAACAAAACAACAAAACACGACCGATACGTGAAGTCCTCTGCAACACTGACAGAATAAAGAACAAAAACCCACAACACCCAAGAGAAAACACACAGTATAAATATGGCTCCCAATCAGAGATAACGAGCCGACAGCTGACACTCGTTACCTCCGATTGGGAGTCAATGACCAAACCTAGAAATAAACGTGACAGAAATGCAACCATAGAAAATCACCCAAAACCCAACAAAACACAATACACCCTGGCTCAAATACAAAAGTCCTGGAGCCAGAGTGTCACAGGTGTGTTTGGACCATGATAGTTCGTTGGTGATGTGGACATCAAGGAACTTGAAGCTCTCAACCTGTTCCACTACAGCCCCGTCGATGAGAATGGGGGCGTGCTCAGTCCTCTTTTTTTTTCCTGTAGTCCACAATCATCTCCTTTGTCTTGGTCATGTTGAGGGAGAGGTTGTTATCCTGGCACCACACGGCCAGGTCTCTGACCTCCTCCCTATGGGCTGTCTCATCGTTGTCGGTGATCAGGCCTACCACTGTTGTGTCGTCGGCAAACTTAATGATGGTGTTGGAGTCGTGCCTGGCCATTCAGTCATGGGTGAACAGGGAGTACAGGAGGGGACTGAGCACGCACCCCTGAGGGGCCCCTCTGTTGAGGATCAGTGTGGCAGATGTGTTGTTACCTACCCTTACTACCTGGGGGCGGCCCGTCAGGAAGTCCAGGATCCAGTTGCAGAGGGAGGTGTTTAGTCTCAGGATCCTTAGCTTAGTGATGAGCTTTGAGGGCACTATGGTGTTGAATGCTGAGCTGTAATCAATGAATAGCATTCTCACGTAGGTGTTCCTCTTGTCCAGGTGGGAAAGGGCAGTGTGGAGTGCAATAGAGATTGCATCATCTGTGGATCTGTTGGGGCGGTATGCAAATTGGAGTGGGTCTAGGGTTTCTGGGATAATGGTGTTGATGTGAGCCATGACCAGCCTTTCAAAGCACTTCATGGCTACAGACGTCAGTGCTACGGGTCGGTAGTCATTTAGGCAGGTTATCTTAGTGTCCTTGGACACGGGGACTATGGTGGTCTGCTTGAAACATGTTGGTATTACAGACTCAGTCAGGGACATGTTGAAAATGTCAGTGAAGACACTTGCCAGTTGGTCAGCACATGCTCGGAGTACACGTCCTGGTATTCCGTCTGGCCCTGCGGCCTTGTGAATGTTGACCTGCTTAAAAGTCTTTCTCACATCGGCTACGGAGAGCGTGATCACATAGTCATCCGGAACAGCTGGTGCTCTCATGCATGCTTGCCTCGAAGCGAGCATAGAAGTGGTTTAGCTCGTCTGGAAGTCTTGTGTCACTGGGCAGCTCGCGGCTGTGCTTCCCTTCGTAGTCTGTAATAGTTTTCAAGCCCTGCCACATCCGACGAGCGTCAGAGCCGGTGTAGTACGATTCAATCTTAGTCCTGTATTGACTCTTTGCCTGTTTGATGGTTCGTCGGAGGGCATAGCGGGATTTCCTATAAGTGTCCGGGTTAGAGTCCCGCTCCTTGAAAGCGGCAGCTCTACCCTTTAGCTCAGTGCGGATGTTTCCTGTAATCCATGGCTTCTGGTTGGGGTATGTACGTACGGTCACTGTGGGGACGACATCATCGATGCATTTATTGATGAAGCCAGTGACTGATGTGGTGTACTCCTCAATGCTATCTGAAGAATCCCGGAACATGTTCCAGTCTGTGCTAGCAAAACAGTCCTGTAGCTTAGCATCTGCGTCATCTGATTGCTTAACCAAGTCACTGGTGCTTCCTGCTTTAGTTTTTGCTTATAAGCAGGAATCAGGAGGATAGAATTATGGTCAGATTTGCCAAATGGAGGGCGAGGGAGAGCTTTGTATGCGTCTCAGTGTGTGGAGTAAAGGTGGTCTAGAGTTTTTTTTCCCTCTGGTTGCACATTTAACATGCTGATAGAAATTAGGTAAAATGGATTTAAGTTTCCCTGCATTAAAGTCCCCAGTCACTAGGAGCGCTGGCTCTGGATGAGCGTTTTCCTGTTGACTTATGGCCTTATACAGCTCATTCAGTGCAATCTTAATGCCAGCATTGGTTTGTGGTGGTAAATAGACAGCTATGAAACATATAGATGAAAACTCTCTTGGTAAATAGTGTGGTCTACAGCTTATCATAAGATACTCTACCTCAGGCCAGCAAAACCTAGAGACTTCCTTAGTATTTGATTTTGTGCACCAGCTGTTGTTTACAAATGTACACAGACCGCCACCCCTTGTCTTACCGGAGTCAGCCGTTCTATCCTGCCGATGTAGCGTATAGCCCGCTAGCTGTATGTTGTCCATGTCGTCGTTCAGCCACGACTCTGTGAAACATAAGATATTACTAGAGGTGTAACGATCCATTTACTACATCGATGTATCGATTTATATTCCTATGATCCAACTACATCGATCTGTGCTCGGCGAGTTGGCCTTTTGGACAACATATATCAATCTAACATCGTTTTAAAATGTAATAAATAGATTGTATCGATACTAGGAAATAACCCATTGGATTTAAGCACGTCAGACTTTATATGGATGTTTTTTCTTAGCACTTTTAATGATAAAGGCTTTAAACATTACTCGATTCAGTCTGCCTATCCGTGACGTCATCGCCCCAGGCCAGCAGCAGCGCAAAGGTGCAAAGACAACAAAACATAGCATGGCAGACGACAGAGGAGAAGCCGACGAGCGAGAAATTATCAAGCCACCATTGCGGTCCTTACAAGAAACAGGAATCTAGGAAACTTCACCTGCACTGTCCAGTATCCAGGTATTTATTTCAGTCACACTGGTTGAATTTTTGGCTAAAAGGTTACTGAATCGATTTCAAGTCACTGAATCGTTTCGGATCGTATCGTTCTAAATGAACCAATATCGTCCTTGAATCGTATCGACAACCACGAATCGTGATACAAATCGAATCGTTGTTAAAACGAATCGTTATACCCCTAGATATTACAGTTTTTAATTTCCCGTTGGTAGGATAACCGTAATCTTAGGTCATCCCATTTATTCTCAAATGATTGAAGATTGGCAAATAGGATTGATGGGAGAGGCAGTTTACTCGCTCGCCGTCGGATCCTTACAAGGCACCCCGACCTACGTCCACAATATCTCCGTCTCTTCCTCATGCGAATGACAGGGATTTGGGCCTTGTCGGGTGTCTGTAGGATATCCTTTGCGGCCGCCTCGTTGAAGAAAAATCTTTGTCCAATACGAGGTGAGTAATCGCTGTCCTGATATCCAGAAGCTCTTTTTGGTTATAAGAGACGATGGCAGAAACATTATGTACAAAATAAATTACAAATAACGCGGAAAAACACGCATAATAGTACAATTGGTTAGAGGGCTGTAAAACGGCAGCCATCTTCTCCGGCGCCATTATCTATCACATCCCAACCCTCAGTTTTCCTCAGTTGTATTGAATTGAACTGAAGTGAAATGAAGTGAATGTTACAGTAGTTCAGTCTCCTCTCCTCCTGTCTGTCTCCCCTGGTAGCCAGAACCCATCCAGACCCTGATCCCACTGAGTATGCCTGATGCCAACACCAGGAGGCTTAACGTGCAGAGAGCCACTCAGGAGTACGAGGCTGAGTACAACGTGTGCAAGTGTAAGCCCTGTCACAACGGGGGCACTCTGGCCCTGCTGGACGGGTTGTGCCTGTGTCTCTGTCTGCCCCAGTTTGAAGGTCTGGCCTGCCAGGATGTCAAGGCTGATAACAGTGAGTGGAGCCAGCCGTTTTATACACACGCATGCCCAAGCATGTATTCACGCACAAGCACACAAGCACACTGTCCTATGTATATAGTTAAAGCTGTCAAGCTGAAAATACAGTTTTCTTCTCCAGATAAGAATACTAAAACCCCCGTGGAGCGTGTTCCTGATGAGGGGAACTGGTCGTGTTGGGCAGCCTGGTCAGGCTGCAGTGGAGGAAAACGTACCAGGACCCGCAGCTGCAACACACAGGGCCTCTCTGGCGCCACCTGCAGGGGAGACAGTGTCAGTGAAGACTACTGCTGAGCTCCCTCTCATACAGAACACAATGATGACACAGCATAACAACCTGACCCCCATATATGTAGACAAAAAGGAGTTAATGCATCTTATACACACACACACTCACACACAGTCCCGGCATGCACCCACACACACACGCACACACACACACAGGTCTATTTAATTTTGTGATAGGAAAAACTTTATCAACTTATTCCTTGAAGTAGGCCTGGTTCTGTTTTACAAATACAAATTTTCCAATAAAGTTTGACCTTTTGAGAGTTTAGATGAAAGGTGTCCACACAAAACATGAAAACATCCAATTGCATTACATATTTAAAATTCATCCTAATCTCAAGTGTTCACTATAGACTGTGAATTGAAGTAGCTTCCTTTGACTGATCGTCTAAGAAGAAAAATGATGACACCTTTTGGCCAAAAGTCGGTAATACAATTAATGTGGTCCTTAGAGACCTTTGGTTTGTGTTAATGATCATCATTCAAAATCTCATAATCTCAGGAATTTAAGGAAAACGGAGACCAGGACAGCCATATAACATCTTGAAATGCTCATGTATTTTATCCCATTCAACTTAATGAACCAAAACCTATCATTATGGTTTGGCATTCATAATATTATGATCCTTCCTTCAGGAAACCAAATAATATCTAGAACCATAATGTTATCATGTTAAAATATACACTAAGTGTACAAAACATTAAGAACACCTGCTCTTTCTATGACAGACTGACCAGGTGAATCCAGGTAAAAGCTATGATCCCTTATTGATGTCACTTGTTAAATCCACTTCAATCAGTGTAGATGAAGGGGAGGATTTTAGACTGTTCTGAGGGCAAAAGGGGGGGGGTGCAACTCAATATTAGGAAGCTGTTCTTAATGTTTTCTACACTCAGTGCATTCGGAAAGTATTCAGACCCCTTCCCTTTTTCCACATTTCTTACGTTACAGCCTTATTCTAAAATGTATTAAATAAAACATTTTCCTCATCAATCTACACACAATACCCCATAATGACAAAGCAAAAACAGGTTTTTATAATTTTTTGCAAATTCATTACAAATAAAAAACAGAAATACCTTATTTACATAAGTATTCAGACCCTTTGCTATGAGCCTCGAAATTGAGCTCAGTTGTATCCTGTTTCCATTGATCATCCTTGAGATGTTTCTACAACTTGATTGGAGTCCACCTGTGGTAAATCAAATTGATTGGACATGATTTGGAAAGGCACACACCTGTCTATATAAGGTCCCACAGTTGACAGTGCATGTCAGAGCATAAACCAAGCCATGAGGTTGAAGGAATTGTCCGTAGAGCTCCGAGACAGGATTGTGTCAAGGCACAGATCTGAGGAAGGGTACCAAAAAATTTCTGCAGCATTGAAGCTCCCCAAGAACCCAGTGGCCTCCATCATTCTTAAATGGAAGAAGTTTGGAACCACCAAGACTCTTCCTAGAGTTGGCCGCCATGGCCAAACTGAGCAATCGGCAGAGAAGGGCCTTGGTCAGGGAGGTGACCAAGAACCCAATGGTCACTCTGACAGAGCTCCAGAGTTCCTCTGTGGAGATGGGAGAACCTTCCAGAAGGACAACCATCTCTGCAGCATTCCACCAATCGGGCCTTCATGGTAGAGTGACCAGACGGAAGCCACTCCTCAGTAAAAGGCATATGACAGCCTGCTTGGAGTTTGCCAAAAGGCACCTGAAGGACTCTCAGACAATGAGAAACAAGATTCTCTTGCAAACATTTCTAAAAACCTGTTTTTGCTTTGTCATTATGGGGTATTGTGTGTTGAATGAGGAGGGAAAAAAACAATTTAATCAATTCTAGAATATGGACGTAACAAAATGTCGAAAAAGTCAAGGGGTCTGAATACTTTCCGAATGCATTGTAAGTTAAATACATTATCGTTAGAGAGCTTCCACAAAAAAGTTATCCTCTTTTGTCTACTAAGGAAATGTAAATAACGGCACTGGAGGGCCGTATACATTTACAGAAAAAAAAACTGCCAGTAAATCTGATCAGCCCCTTGCTAACACAAACATTTAAAACACATTTTCCAAAACATGTATCCTACATTCCAAATATGCATGAAACCATGGAACCATGCTAAAATAAGTCATCCAAAACAGCCTTGTTCCTAAAACACAGTGCTGCTGTCCGTCTTTCCACTTTGGTCAACTTCAAAAAGTGTTGGGTAAAGTTTGTACGTTCACCCTTTTTTTCAATTTTCGCCTAAAATGACATACCCAAATCTAACTGCCTGTAGCTCAGGACCTGAAGCAAGGACATGCATATATTCTTGATACCATTTGAAAGGAAACACTTTGAAGTTTGTGGAATGTGAAATTAATGTAGGAGAATATAACACATTAGATCTTGTAAAAGATAATACAAACAAAAAAACATGCGTTTTCTATTTATTTTTTTTGTACCATCATCTTTGAAATGAAAGAGAAAGGCCACAATATAATATTGCAGTTTAGGCGCAATTTAGATTTTTTGCCACTAGATGGCCGCAGTGTGTGCGCAAAGTTTCAGATTGATCCAGTGAAGCATTGCAATACTGGACTATTTTGTATCAAGTCTGCCCAAATGTGCCGAATTGGTCAATTGATACATTGTCAAGTACATAACTATAGAGAAAATACAAAAATTATGTGCTAATACAAAATGTTAGTTTACACACTCCCAGGAATGTCATACATGAATGATCATTAGCTTATACACTAACTTTCACACATCTAGATGTCCGGGCTGGGTGGGTGTGGAGCCAGAGACAGCAGGGGTTCAAACTGTAGAACACAGTTCCTACATTTGATTATAAAAATTGATTTTATAAAAAAATAACTATGCTACATTTTATCTCTGGGACCCTTAGGATGACAAATCAGAGCAAGATTACTGAATGTAAGTACATTATTTACCTTCAGAGGTGAATGTATCAAACCAGTTGCCGTGATACGTTTTTTGTTGTTGTGCACTCTCCTCAAACAATAGCATTAGGTTAATGGCCTAATAACTCATCTTTAAAAACATGGCCACATTCCAAGCAGCTACACCGTGGAAATGAGAAACAGATGAGCTGAAGCTTGAAAGACAGACAGAGAGAGAGATGGGAGAGGGGAGAGAGAGAGAGAGAGAGAGAGAGAGAGAGAGAGAGAGAGAGAGAGAGAGAGAGAGAGAGAGAGAGAGAGAGAGATGGTTTATCTTGACATGGACAGGGGGAAAATGAGATATCTGATATTTTTTAATTGTGTATACATTCTTAGAAAAAAAAGGTGCTATCTAGAACCTAAAATGGTTCTTCGGCTTTTCCAGATAGAACCCTTTTGGTTCCAGGTAGAACCATTTTGAGTTCCATGAAGAACCCTTTCCACAGAGGGTTCTACCTGAAAATGGTTCTCCAATTGGGACAGCTTACCAACCCTTTTTTCTAAGAGTGTAGAGATACCAAGCCCTCGTAAATTAGGTTTGCAGTATGTAGACATTACATTTACATTTTAGTCATTTAGCAGACACTCTTATCCATGCGACTTACAGTTAGTACATACATTTTTTTCATACTGGTCCCCTGTGGGAATCAAACCCACAACCCTGGCGTTGCAGGCGCCATGCTCTACCAACTGAGCTACACAGGACACGAGACATCTTAGGCTAGCATTAAGTATGCAACAAGAGAGCTCTCTTTCGATATGAACATATTTGGGCATTACCTCTCACATAGCCATGTTTAACATTTGACACAAGTCTGAACTGGTAACAGCAGGGTTCCTAGATTGAGCAAACTGGAACCAGACAGGCCAGGTCATTAAGATGTTCCTGATCCTGATTCTCTCTGTCCCGCTGGTCTCTGTGTCCCGCTGGTCTCTCTGTCCAACTGGTCTCTGTGTCCCGCTGGTCTCTGTGTCCCGCTGGTCTCTGTGTCCCGCTGGTCTCTGTGTCCCGCTGGTCTCGCTGTCCTGCTGGTCTCTCTGTCCCGCTGATCTCTGTGTCCCGCTGGTCTCTGTGTCCCGCTGGTCTCTCTGTCCCGCTGGTCTCGCTGTCCTGCTGGTCTCTCTGTCCCGCTGATCTCTGTGTCCCGCTGGTCTCTGTGTCCCGCTGGTCTCTCTGTCCCGCTGGTCTCTGTGTCCCGCTGGTCTCTCTGTCCCGCTGATCTCTGTGTCCCGCTGGTCTCTCTGTCCCGCTGATCTCTGTGTCCCGCTGGTCTCTCTGTCCCGCTGATCTCTGTGTCCCGCTGGTCTCTCTGTCCCGCTGATCTCTGTCCCGCTGATCTCTGTGTCCCGCTGGTCTCTGTGTCCCGCTGGTCTCTGTGTCCCGCTGGTCTCTGTGTCCCGCTGGTCTCTGTGTCCCGCTGGTCTCTCTGTCCCGCTGATCTCTGTGTCCCGCTGGTCTCTCTGTCCCGCTGATCTCTGTGTCCCGCTGGTCTCTCTGTCCCGCTGGTCTCTCTGTCCAACTGGTCTCTGTGTCCCGCTGGTCTCTGTGTCCCGCTGGTCTCTGTGTCCCGCTGGTCTCGCTGTCCTGCTGGTCTCTCTGTCCCGCTGATCTCTGTGTCCCGCTGGTCTCTGTGTCCCGCTGGTCTCTCTGTCCCGCTGGTCTCTCTGTCCCGCTGATCTCTGTGTCCCGCTGGTCTCTCTGTCCCGCTGATCTCTGTCCCGCTGATCTCTGTGTCCCGCTGGTCTCTGTGTCCCGCTGGTCTCTGTGTCCGCTGGTCTCTCTGTCCCGCTGGTCTCTGTGTCCCGCTGGTCTCTGTGTCCTGCTGGATAGAACCTGGATGGAGATTTATCTGGGGTTTTACATCATAAAGGATTGAAAGTGACAGTGGATGTTGACGAGGCAGAAAGATAGCAGCTCCCTGGTGTTTGAACTTTGACCCTCTCGTCATAGCACTACTGATACACAGACTCATACTCCATATGGTTTGCACATACACAACACATACACAACACATACACAACACAACACATACACAACACAACACATACACAATACAACACAACACACCACAACACATACACAACACATACACGTGTAAACCAAGATGGCGTAGTAGTGCAGTCCTGTTTTTGTCGTGTGTCTGTAAATAGCCTGTAAATACCCTGTTTTTTTGTATTTTTCGTACATATTTTCCTATCAGACTTTTCATCCTTCTACAAAATATACTTTCCTGCAACCCGCCTCACTCAATGTGGAACGGATTCTATTATTGACTTACCTTTTATCTAGAATCTCCAGTTGAAACTAGCTAGCCAGCTAACTAGCTACTTGCTATTAGCCACAGTTAGCGGTATTTCACCCAGAACATTGGATTTTTCTGCCGGAATAATTTAATCACTGGACATTAATCACCGGATTGCAACTAGCTAGCCGCAACCGAATGGATGTTGCTGTTTGGCTAATCACCACTGCCCCCGATGCCAGCACCAGTTAGTCTCGAGCTAGCCTAGAGCCAGGCTCATATCCCGGCTATCTATCTCTAGGTCTTTCGGACGGGAGTAGCCAGCTAACTAGCTACTTGCTATCAGCTACCGTTAGCGGTTTTTCACCATTGTCCGTGGCCTGCACCACCTACCAGCCAGCTCTAGTCTGGACTATTATTCGGCCAGTCTGCACTGTCTGCACAGCGCGTTATCGACCCAGAACATATCAGTTTTTCTGCCGGATAACTGAATCACTGGACCTTTAACTCCGGATTCATCGCTACCAGCTAG